CTAGATCTGATTCAGCTGACTGCAAAAGACACATGAATGAATATATGAATAGCAGAATCACAATGCCGAAAGAGTGTGAAAAATACAGTTATACCAAACTAGGACGCTAGAGTAAAAAAATTAGGATACAAGAACTATATTTAAATTAAAATAATTTTAGAACAGAAGGAAATATGACGATAATTTATAGATTGATCGAACACTTATGAATTATGGGATGAAACAGGCATATAACTGAATGTTAGTAATTTACAGATTACAAATTAGGCTAAACAGTCTCCCAAAAACTAGCTTTCATTTTTTATCATGCCTTCCTCGTTCTTTTTTTCACAATGCCGTTTGACTCTCAACCAATAGTTTTCATGCTCAAATCTCGTTCTAGCTAGTTCAGTTTGGGCAACGGGGTATTATAGATGACTTATATACTCAAAGTTGTGGTTCAAATCCGAGTACACGGACTTGAACTTAATGAGTTGCATCACTATATTCATGATAGCTGCTAAGATAGTGTTTTCAAAATAAAAAAGCTTCGTCATCCAAACTGAAATATATTCCTAATAGGATGATAAGTCACCTTCAGTGTAAGATTATTATGCAGGACCGTTTCATAACTAAATAAATAAAATACTTGAACAATACAGTATTTCTGACATAACTAATTGCTGTGTGTATAAATTCAGTTTTACACAACGGTTAGAATCGTTGATTAAATGCTTTTACAACAACAGCTGATTGAAATCCCTTGAGTTCTTTCACACCCTGTGTTAATATCCGGGATCCAACATAGGTTAGTCAGTTTTTTCCTATCTGTTTAAAAAACTTTATTACCGACACTAACTAAAAGTTTGATTTTTTTATTGACGTCATGAATCAATTGATGTTACACCACCGTTGGAAACCTGGAAGCACTGGATGGCCGTTTCGTCCTAGTATGAGACACTTCAGCAATGCGCATCCACGACCCCGCTCCCTGCGAGATTCGAACCCAGGGCCTATCGTGAGGGAATTCTCGGAGTTCTAGTGAGAAGCCGTGACCAGTGGAGCTAATCCGTATCGGGTAGAGACAGGTATCTACCTCAGTACAATGGAAGTTGACTGCACAATTCCGTGGATTGGTTGATATTAGACACTAACGCCATTGGATGCCGGCTCACTGGTCTAGTTGGTTAAGCGCCTGGCGCGAGACCGATAGGTCCTGGGTTCGAATCTCGCAGGGAGCGGGATCCTGGATGCGCATTGCTGAAGAGTCCCATACTGGGACGAAACGGCCGTCCAGTGCTTCCAGGTTTCCAACGGTGGTGTAACATCAATTGATTCATGTTCCTAATCAAAAACTTAACAATCTCCACAACCCCTATACTGATAAAGTTTAATTATCAGTATGGAGATTTGTGAGGATTGTAGTATTTTAGCAGTTGAATCCACGAGTCAATCTAAGCTAGACCACCATCGAAAACCTGGAAGCACTGGACGGCGTTCCGTCCTAGTATGGGACTCCTCGTCAGTGCTCATCCACGATTCCTCAAGGGGTACTCGAACCGTGACCAATGGAGTCCAGTCGGTATCGGGTAGAGATATTTATCCACCTCAGACGATGGATGAATGGTTGCGCAAGATCATGGATCGATTGAAGTTAGACGTTAACACTTGGTCGCCGGCCCAGTGATCTATAGGTTAAGCGAGGCCGAAAGTCCTAGGTTCGAGTACTGCGTGCGCGACCTTGAAGTTTAATTGTTATTTACGGTTTCTTTCTGCATTTTTGAGTTTGGAAATTCCGGTGGTCCATTGGTGAATTTATATGGTGAAGTTATTGGGGTTAACGCTATGGTGGCTGGTACTGGAGTGGGATTTGCCATACCTGTTGATCAAGTTCGAAAATTCATACAGTTAGCACTAAAAGCATCCTCAAATACTCGAAGCTCTTCCCCAGTATCGTCAGCATCGCCTACTGATCCATATATTTTAGCAGACAATCCAACCAATTCCGAAAGCGGAACTCAACGTCGATACTTAGGCCTAGTTATGCGAACGCTTACTCCAGAACTGGCTTTTGAATTGGCATCTCGGGGTGGACAACATTTTGTAGAGTTGAATGGTGTTCTGATTCATGCTGTATTGAGAAACTCCCCTGCCCAAAAGTAAGTTCGCATCACTTTGAATAAATTGTAGAAAACCACTTATTTTGCATCAAAAAGAAATTATCTTGTCAAAATGTCTACAAACCATTATTATCACACTTATTTACAAGTCAATAGCTTAGAACTATTAACAATCTTCTTATCATGACTATTATTATTAAGAACTACAAATTTCCTAACACTACCAAGGTTCGATCAAAAGTTTTTGATTATCATGATATTTGCATTTTGAATTAAAATTTTTAAACATTATTTTTATACTCAAGAAACAATGCTCTCTGTAAAAACTTGTCATGTGTGGAATCTATCTAATTATTTGACGTTCGGTCCACCATAAAGTTTCGCTACTAATCAGCTCCATAAAGAAACTTTGCTTCTATGTAGGTTTTAGCGAGTCTTAAATACAATTCAATATGGGCTTCTTTTTCCACTTACAAATCTCATTAGATAGATGGAGTGGTTACTGTTGACCTTTAAATCACCGTTCAGTAGAGTAGTAACACTGAAGATATAGTTCTTAATCAATGTTACAAAACTCTTTAAAAGCTCAAAGTGATAATTTTATATATATTCCTTTATTAACTCTGATAAATAGCTTTAAAAAATTACAAACACATTTAAAGGATGTTTAAATTATCTTTAAAAAGCTTGTTCTTAACTAATTTCGCAAGTACAATTTCAGCCTCCCATTTACATTGTTATAAACTCACGATATACTCGTCTATTTTACTACACAAATTAACCGGTAATCATACTGATTTATAATAATTTTCTAATTAAAAAAACAGATTTTACCTAAAGTAGTATCAACGATTTCACTATAATCGGCATTATTTCCTAATGTCTTTGAAGAGAAATTACTCTACATAAATTTAATATTTCAACAGAGCTTCAAACTATTATTTGTTTACAAAAAAGAACTCCGAGAAAAACAATCACATCCGGAAATTATCTATCAGTTGATTCTAACTCTATTTTAAATAGCAGATCCCTATTCCACAAGTGTTTATATCGACGACCCAGTTTAATACACTTATTTCACAATATACACTTATTTGTTTAACGTCGTTTATGCATATTTGTGGGTGGAATTTACTTGCTCAAATATCACATATATTAATACTTTACACAACGCAGCAACTCCACCATGATTAAGAAGCTCCATTCCCATTGTATTACAAGATTTGATCAGTTAGTCAGCCACAACGCAGGACCTGGCACGTTTGTACATCGATCCAAATCGTTATACCCCATTAACATAAAGAGAGGAAGTTGTCCGGTCAAATCCCAAAATAGTAGAGACGGTAAGTCTGAGTGGTAATGGTGAAGATTACGCAACGAAGATATGCTTCGAAAAATGTTTAGTGAAATGAAAGCACAAGACGCCTCGAGGAATTTACCTTAGAACTTTACGACCTCGTCAGTCGACTTGCCATCCTTACCTGGTGCCATATTCCTAACCCGGCTACTGCTTACTCCGTGGTCCCAAAATACACGGCTACTACTTCGAGGACACCTATGATCGAATACCAATATCCTCTACCCTTAATGGACATGTTTCATACCCATGAAGTAGGACAGAGTGAACTGCTGCACAGTAAACTCGTCCTTTGTTCGATAAACGGATATCTCACCTACACCAGGGACGCACGTCGACCAAACCGAACGAGCCTTCTGAACCCATGTCGAGATCTCGTCACACACTAGACCACCAGGAATGACGAGAATCCCAAGATGAGTAAAGTGGTCAGTGAGTTCAAATACTTCACTCCCTATCGTTAATTCGAGCGGTCACGCAATCCAATTCTAAAGCGACACTTTACATAATTGTTTGAGGGTTCGGAAGACTGTATTTTGTTAGTGTCTTCATCGAACAGTACTATATAATCTGCATTTTTTAAGTCAACAAGTAAACATCAATCCCTAAAAAGTCGGACGATGAAAGCGTTATCTCTAAAAGCAAGTTTACGACAAGGTTACAAACATCACTTGAAGTAACCAAATTCGATGACAGTTCGCCATAATCTCTGACTCGACCAGTAGCGTTCGAGTAGTAGTGAGCATGTACAGTAATTCTTGCGTACGCCTTTCAATGGACAAACCTCACGATTAACGGATCTAAACGTTGTTTTTAGGTCAAAGAATACAACCATAAGCGGACGTCGATAAATGAATTGAGCAGTTTGCACGCTCTATTACTTCTTTCCTATCGTTAATCTGACGCAAACCAATCCTAAAGCGACATTTTCCATTCGGGAGGAGAGAAACAAACGATGGTCGGTATAATGATTCTAGAACGTGAGATATATTAAAAGCAATAAAAAAACAGAAACCTTGCACAGTTAATTGGCTTTCGACAGCGATTTTCTTCTACTAATTAACTTTGTAATATTAATCTCTAGTAATTGAGATTCAGCATAAATTTTATACATTTATTTTACAGGGCAGGACTAAGAGCTGGAGATGTAATTGTTGCCATTGATGGTCTACCTATAACGAATGCTCAACAAGTTTACACTGCAACTGAAAGCCGAGAACAACTGACAATCACTATCGTCAGACAAGGAAAACGAATAACCATAGATCATATTCAGACGGAAAAGATCTAGAACATTAATTAGATCCTTGATTTAAATTATTTTACACACAGTATATAATTCTGTATTATACATACACGAGTATTTATAATTAAATCATGCACAATGCTACTATCTCTTTTCTATTTTGCATTCTTTTACATAAGATAACTTGGAAGCAAAATACACTTGCTGCTTCAATACATTGTATTTAAATAGAACAATAATTAAGGTATTTTGAAAATAAAATGATTTTTATTCCAATATATATTAAGACAGATTATTAGGTATATATATATATATATATATGCCGGCCAAGTAAATCAAGTGTTCGTGAAAATATCAACTAACAAGGATAGAGAAAAAGAGAATAAATCAAGAAGACAAAAATGCTAAAAAGAGAAAATTCTAAAGTATATTATGCTTTTTTTCATTTTATTGATTGCATTATCACATCAATACAATGGAATGAGCTGCAGAACTGGTTTATCCCTGACCATTAACGCACATCTATCATATTTAGCTCGACTTTAAATGAAACATAAGGAAAATAGTCCGATGAAGCCCCGAAACTCCCGACATTCATATCTTCCTGTAAAGAGATATTCGCAGAGACGAGTAAAGTTCAACAAAAGGGTAGTGTGTATTGAAATTAACGTTTTAGCAAAATTAATGTAAACAAATGAAATTACGAACAAAATAATTGTCACAATAAACATGTTTATCTTTAAACAAATAGCTACTTTTGCGGAGGGGAAATGACGTAGGTTATTGTACTCAAAACAGATCCTCTGTACGTATTTCGCGGAAAACTTTAATTTGCTATGCCATAACAGATTTTCTGTTGAAGATGTAGACTTCAGTAAACATCATTAGAATTTTTTTGAAATCCATTCTACGACCAAAACTACATTGTGCATTCCTGAAATATCATTATTATTATACATATGCGCCACATAAATCTTGTTTCATTTGTGTGAGGGCTGTGATACTACTTGGGCGCCCAAACCGAAGGGGCCACACCCCGAGCCTTTGACCTAAAGGTCTGATCCACAAGGCAGTGGGGCATCGTGAGGAGATGCAGTCCCGTGGTAGCCGGTAACCAACGATTGATTTATATGCCATCAGGATACTAGAGCGCATGTGCACCATTGGTTTTAAATCAGGGTTTTCCAACTCCCCTAGGTGAATTCGCCGGCCCGGTTAAAGCGCCGGACATTCGCTTTTCGTCCTCTCATTTTCGTAAACAACACTCCTGCCACGAGAAGGCAGTGAGTAGGACTTCCCTTGCAGTGGCTGTATACGCGTGGCCATGTGAGAGCATTTCGAGAGGAAGTGATGGCTCTTCCCACCCTCGGCTGTACCAGGGCATTCCTGAAATATAGGCTAACCAGTGTCTATATCTCAAGCGAAACCAACCACACCCCTCATTTTATCTCGAAAAATATACGATTGGAATACTTTAGATCCGTACTTGTTAAGATTCACCTTTATTAGATTTCAGTTTAAAAGTCTGTGAAGACGTATCCAATAGCCTTCCCTATTAACCTTGGGGTAGAGATAAGAACAGACTTTTTGATCCTATTCTAGAACCTTTTATTTAAAATAATAAATATATTTTTTCTTTATATCCCAACAAGTAGAAAAATTGTATTTCTGACGTTTTGCGATGATGTAATCCATTTCTTATATCAAAAATATACATAAAATTTCTTTACTGATTAGGATATAAAAAAAGTATTTATTATTAACTCTACCCAGTGCTCAATTTATTTGAAACTCAAGTCCAACCTTGATATGATACCTATAAACTCATTAATAATCTTTTATTTAAATATAACTAATTGAGAAAAAGTCATTTACGACTGAAAATCTAACGCGAAAATTTACTTTCGAATGTGCAACAAACACTTATTTTGTGTGTAACAGTTAACCTGTATAAAATAAACTCATTATCGATAACACCGGAACACATATTGTACAGACACAGGAACAGTGTTTTATATCTCCCACCCCAATACTACACTTATAAATGCAAACATATCAATTAAGCACAAGTTTTTATGCAATTACGAACAATCCTGTTATGTGCCACAGTAATAAATATACGAATAGATGTTAATGCTTACATCTAAGACGGAGCTTGAAGACGAACCATCCAGATGGTTGTAAAGTTGTTTTAGTATATCTCTTAATTTCTTTTGCTGCTTTTTGTTTGGCTCAAGGAGTATCGCTTGAAAGTCAACCGGCAATCCATATCTACAACAAGACGGAAAATTACTTTAGAATCAGCATATGATGTAACAGAACAAATTCAATGCAGCAGGATTACCACTTATTTGTACATCCGGATACAAAGCAACAGAAATGTCACATTTAAAAATACTTTGGTTAGGTGTTTACCTTTGAAAGTACATATACTAGTTGTGCAGACATGTTGAGATCTTAAAAATAGATATCCTTATTCAATATTGTTGTTTCATTCACTTGTAAAATCAGGATTGCAGTTCAGCTTTGGGAAATATAATGACAGGTATTTTCGCTGGACAGTAACTCTTTTGCCCTTGTAAGATACCTCACTTGCTTTTTGTAATAGTCCACAATAGGGATATCACAAGGATTGTAAACTTGGTGTGAATCCCATTCCACTTAATGACGTTCATTTCGCACTATAAGCTCCCTCATGAGTAGCTCGTTATTGCAAAAGCCTTTACACGGTTATGGTATCACCTCTATTTTGAAACTCCAAATCGTGACTACTACAAAGAAATGCTTATATCGTCTAAACTGTTTCAGATTCATTTTACTATAATTACAAGTGACTTGACCACAATCAAAATATTTTATTCAAAACATGAATCGTAAGCACTTCACATGTTTGCTACCTATATCAACTGGAACTATCTGAGCCACAATAAAGCAACTTCTTAGTATGATCGTGAATATTTCTCCACCAGACTTGACGAATATCCGCGAAAAGTCCATAAAACCATTAGCATAAAGGAAACCGTAAATCTATTATTTTAGTTCTGAACATTATTTCAACTAGAATAGTATGCACCACTGACAAATACCTAGTATAGATTCTGCCACATTCCGATCTCCTAGAATAAGGTTACATTTGTTACCCACATTAGACTTAATTTTTCAATTTTGTTTACAACTGAAAATTAGTCTCGAGTTGATGGTAAGGAAATGTCTTTGCAACGTATGTATTTTGAGATACCATATACTTAAACGAACCTGGATACTGGGAACCACTAAATGGGATTACGAACACACCACATATTTAGATCATCGACAGAAAAATATCATACGACAGTTGGAAGCCTTGATCAAAGTAAATTTATCTAATCACTATCATTTTTAGTACCACGTATTTACCCCAATAATGTTTATTATCAGTATAATGACTTTTAGCTCGTTTCAACTGCTTCCTATGCCACAAGACAACCATGGAAGTACTTTCCATCACTTAACCTTTTAGATTGAAATAAAATGATTAACAGGGTTCTATATGCATTTTAAACGATCATAAGGTGACATAAAATAACTACAAACTAAACAGGTAGTAGGTAAGCTGACGAAAATAAAACTTCTTACCTTAAAACTGACTCAACAAATACCCGGAGGGCTTTAATATGAACCATAGCAGAAAAAGCCTCACCAAAATTAACTTTCAACCAACGAAACAGAGGAGCCTAGTTAGGAATTTAGAAAAGTTATGCACTGAAATCAAGATGATTGGAAAAAGTATCATACTGTAGACAATCAAGGTACAACTTAGTTGTATGAAACAATGTGCAAATGTTATCTTACGAACCAGAGAAAACAACCTTATTTCGAAAGTAACTTCTTTTGTTATCCATCCCAGTGATCTTCAATTAAGTACAATCGTGATTCTCGTTACTGCCTTTTAATTGGTAGAAAAACGAGATGTTCGTTTTAATCATTTGGCTTTCCTTCATTAAGTCATATTCTGACCAACAGACACACATCACTTGTGACTGGAAGGAACAAAATGGAAACAGTTTCTTGTCAAACGCCTGTAAACGACTACTAAAGACATAACGAGAAGCGTGATTATCTGTCTTCAATATTTGGGATTATGTTCCAAGAAGTGCTGGTAGGATGACGTTTAAAGAAATGCATATGGCTCAATACATTTAAAACCGAACAGTTTACTGACTTTAGGAAGGAAACATTTATGTGACAAAAATTCCATAAGGCGGTATTAATAACAAAAATAAACCGACTTACAAACTGTCTTTTCTTATCGGACTCAAGTTTCGACAGCTCATTTCTACTTTCCTCAATTTTCTTCTCATCATAAGTAAAATCACGTACAACAAACCTAACAATTGGTTTTGAATATTTAAACAAACCTAAATTCACGAGCCTGAGTTTTAAAATCATCCGTCATTTTTTTGAAGAGCGTAACAGTCCACAGGCCATTATCTTGATCTTCAAAAATAAGTCTTAATCGGTTACAAGAAAGGATTGCGAATTACTCAGACGATTTAGGAACGACCATATCTGTCATTCTTTCATAATTAGATTTCCAATCATTATACATATTCCTGATAATAAACATATCAAAAAAACTTACTTTGGAACAACAACAACTAGAGTAGTTAGGTATTCCGAATCAACAATAAATTGTTCTCGCTTCACAATATCTCCAAGCTCGCGTGTTAAGAGACTACCCCTAAAGGAATTTAAGGTACTTTAAAATATACTGCTTACGTCTGCTTTCGTTCTAGATTTTGAAGACAACCTTTTAAAGTATTATATGACTGAGACTTTGCTTTTAAATCCGAATCTATTTTTGTAAGTTGCTATAAACAATATTACTTGGCGTGAAATAAAAATACCTCTGAAATAATAGCATATAGTGAACTTAACGTTTGTTTGACTGGATATTTAGCATAATCCCACTGGAATTTGGTGAGGAACGCGGCAGGAGAAACTGAGGATATAAAAATAAGAAATAGAACATACGTCCATTTACCGTCAAGTTGTCTTCCAACTTGTGTTTTTGTTCTTCGAGTACATCGCCCATGTACTGGGCAACTTTCTTGGTAATACTTGAGCTGCTATTTGAACCTATTAGACAATTACCTCTCAGCATACACATCTAATTTTGACAGCTCATCAGAAAGACCCACTAGAATATCCAGCGTTCCCACCTAAAGCTTCTAAATCATCTGACATCTACACAAATACCTTGAAGTCAGGAGGAATATTGAATTTGTTGATCTGCGAGCAGATATCCTTATATTTAGACAATGTGGTTTGAAGACGCTGATACACCTGATTTGGATCCCGCTCCCCAGGTACAGATATTATCCAGAACTCCGTCATTCGACTAAGCTCAAATCAACCACTACTGTTGAATATCCAATGTCTTCCAACACCTCCGTGACGAGTGAATGTAAATCAATTTACTTCCTAACTCTTAAGTCTTGAAACTAAATAATAGTTCCTGACTGCAAAAAATATTTACTCACGGAATCTATAGATCTGATTACGGCTGGTTTCCAATATCTTCGTCATCAGTTTGTATTTGATTACATTGAGCTCGTTTCTTGTTGTTTCGGTGCGATTTCAAGTATTTGATGGTGTCCAATATGTGGCAGTCTATCCACTCGACTGCACTAATTCTAATCAGTGAGTTATTTATTCGTGGACTTTTATATCTTGTTGTTTGACAGGTCAGACTGATCCTGTATGACAGCAGCTGTGAGCAAGTACACCTTTGTCCAGCCCCCTCTTGAAGTGATCCACTGAAGTGGACTGTGGTCAATTTGGCTGGAATAGAATATCAAATTGTGGCCACTATTGATGAGAAATAGTGAGAGGGTACTTAGGTGTTCGCTCTTTGACGTGCAATCTTCTGAAAGTTTCCTCAAGGAGCATGGTTATGATAATCTGGTTATATGCTCGCGCTAGGTGGCTTGTCGTTATTAACATATTTTATGCCATTATCAGATCACCTCTTATCCTCCTGTAGCTCAATGAGAATAATATCAGTGTTTGGCGCTTGTTGTCGTAAGATTTATGTTTAGGACCTATCACCCAATTGGTTATCCGTCCCTGTACTTGTTCAAATTTAGGTTTCTTTGAAAATAAGTGGACACAACGATAATGTGAAGTTCAAGATGAGGCTGTGCATACGTTTTAAACAGTGTTAGGAATAACTCTGTGATGATCACCCAAAGGTAACTTTGCATAAATTGAAGATTCGTGTTTACATAACGGAATTCCCCTTGTTGTTTGAACTGCCGTCCAACCTATCTGTGATTACCAGCCCGAGATCACACACATAGGTTGCATTTTGAAGCAAATTTTCATGAGGGGTGTAGGCTTTTTGTGTTAAATGAGGCAGAATGTTCAATATATGACATTTCGACAGTTTAAGTTGTAACCTATTGTTTATTGCTCATTCCTAGATTGTTATAAGGGCCGTTTGAAGCTCAAGTGAATCTCTTATCACTTTACATAAACCTCTAGATCATCGCGTCATCTGCATAAATCAGTTCCGCCGAGTTAATTTTATCTAACAGGTTGTTAACAAAGATCCAAAACACATGTAGATCTAGGATTGTCTATCGCGATAACTCTGATTTTGAGATCTCCCAACTCGTTTGTACTCTACTTACCTTGGCATGAAGCATACTGTTCTCCAGGTTGTTTCGGAGCCGGGATAAATTAGATCTCAACGAACATGAAAATTTTTTAATTCTAAAAAATAAAAGTAGAGGACTGTTTTGAATTCTGTGTACGAATTGGTAAAAGTGGTTTTCAAGTATTAAAAAATCCAGTAAAGCGTGTTGGTTATTCATGAGTCTGTTGTAGCAAAAGATTACTTCATAAAATTGACTAAAAGGATTTTAGGTTACTCGGCGATAGTTATATGATATGTCCTCAGTAGGCTACAACAGTGTGTTTGGTCAGTGAAGAATTTCCGTCCGTCGTTGTGATCCGGAGCTCAGTGTTATTTCATTAGCTCAAAATATTTAAATGGTAAGGTTTCTGGACAATTTTCGGGAGAAAAGAGATATGTTGTATTCACCATTAAAAAGGTATGGATTCAATTCCAATGATGTGTACACAAATCAGATATTACTCTGATGGAAAGGAAATGTTGCGCCACTAAGGACGTCGGTCCATGTCAAGTTTCCAATAAAATATATGAAACACGATTATTAACAAACTAGCTTGAATGTGCCACAGGTATTTGTAGTTTCGCAGCACGTTAACCAGATACACCTTCTATATTGAATCGTACCCACACAGTGAAATCAAAAGTCAGAAGCCAGGAGGTTCGAAGATGTATTTGATAGGCTATCAATATACCGAGAAGTGACTGATCTTAACTGGCTAGCGGTTGCAGGAGAAGTTGAATATGGAGTTTCCACTCGTGATCTGATGCGGATGCATGACCGAGCGCCTTCAGTTAGGTGAGTCCATTAAAACTAAAGCAGTCAGCATCCATTGTCGAAGACTTGCAGAGCTATTGATTTTGGAGATTTATTTACCACTACGAGCTATTTTTATCCTGGAGTTTTTCTCCCTAAATAAAAACGTGGACAGTTAAAGGTAAAGTTGATGGACCTCTCCGTGATTCATTCATTGATGTTGATTGTTGTAAAATGTCTGAATGCTCTTTCCGAATCTGCGCAGAAGACTGTTGGTACTTTTGTCTACTATGAAGCCAAACTGGTACGTCTGCCATTCTTGTCATATCAGCAACATTACTAGACGTAACAGTTCCTTAGAAATCTCAATTTATTTCACAAGCCTTATTTTTCACCGGCAGACCAAACATTATCCTCACTAAACGTTGATATCACTGAGATTCCACGGCAGATTGATTTTTAAGTAAATGTAGTATTTACGTCTGTTTCAAGGCTTTATCGTTGTCTTAGACCGTGAATAAACTATTGTTACGAAGTTCAGCACATGGTAAGCGACTAAAGCATTATTCAGGGGAACTAGTAATCGTGCATTATCACGATAAAGACGTCATTGATACGCGATATACGTAAACGCTTCTGCCCGTAACTTCTTTTGGTGAAAGGATCCTGAAATGATGAGATGCGAAGATATATATGGATAACAGTTGGTGTATCGAGTAGTATGAAAACTGATCTGACTAGTTGTTATAAGGTATGCTCAGCACAGCATAACCAAATGATCTGTGGCGGTGCTTGACTGAGCACTTTCAGATCAAGTTGGATCTACTCACTTTAATGATATCAAGGTCAGTGTAAAATAATTACGAAGCCATTTATTTTGAAGATTTATTTACCGCTATACATACTTAACAACATACGAAAATACATTGTAAGACGAATCGAGCTCAATAAACTTCGGTTATCCCAAATTCTCAGCATACGTGACGATTTCATACTTAATTTCTTAAAAATACACTTCAATGTGTAAAATAGAAAACGTGATTTAGCTTCGCGGTGAAAATAACCCTAATTATTTTTGTCGACTATAAATATTCAGTTAACTTCGTAATGGAATATCTACGAAAAAGATCACAACGTAGACAAACTGTGATAATTAGAAGTATTCTAATTATTATACGAACTCGGAATCCTAGAAACAGTGAAGTTTAAGTCATAATGAACTAGGCAAGCACAAACGAATATATTGTATTCAGAATTCGAAATCTTGCACACATCGAGTATCGAAGAACCATTAGTTCATACAAACACCACACAAATCCATTTGAAAGGCCAGACTTTATAAGGAACGATTGCTTGTATTATCTGACTTGGTATGATAAAATATTCGATCCACTGATTCACAATTATTTCTCAGGACTTATTAAGAAATATAAAAAATAATCAAGGATAATAATATAAAACGAAACACGTCGGATATTCACAGACTGTATTTCAAGCTATACATTAGGTTAGCGTGACAATGTTGAGTTTTAATCAACCCAACGTATTGGGCAACTAAAATTGAATCAACTTCTAGAAATTTCAGCAATTTAAAGAAATATACAGAGTATTCCTAATCATTCACAATCAGTACAAACAAGCTAAACATATACAACTGATAAAATTTTTAGGAGAAGTCCAGTGATTGATGAGACAGAATCGCCACAAACTATTAAAATGGTCGAACAAAGTATGCACAGTTCTTTGGGTATACACAAATATGACGAATAACAATACATCGTAACTTGATACACATGTACACCACTAACGTAGATGATCTATGTCGAATGGTTGGAGGCCTACTCATGTTGGACAGGAATAGTGTGACGAGCCAGCTAACTTTGATACCACACCTCGCGCTCAGCACCTAACATGGATTATCCCTTCGAAATACCAAAATGCTACGGGACGCTATGAAGAGCGTATAAGACAGAGGACGTTATTACGGAAATATATTAGTAAGAATGAGCACAGAGAAGATAGTGAGAATTTCGTGCTTATATGTAACCCTTGTTCTACTGATAGAAGAAACCAGACTAGTAGTGAAAAGGTCCTTATTTAAATCGCGTGGCAGTCACAGTGGAGCTGAGAATTACCTGTTCAAACACACAAAACTCTTCAACATTCAATAAAAGATCATAGGGAATATAATGTCTATACAAAATAAGGAAGTGGATGAATAATTGAACTCTATTGTTTTGACAGATACTTAGTTGTTTGAGGTCGATTCTTAACTAAACAACTTAAAGGACCACCATCGCATGAGTCAGTCCATGGCATACGATTAACTGATGAGCGTTATTTGACCTTGAGCTTGACGGGTTTCCATTAACTTCCTGATATTCAGTGACCCGACTGCTGTATGGTTTGGCCAGAGCTCATTGTTATTTCACTGGCTCTGCAACCCCATCCCATACTTCATAATTTCGTAGTTGACTTCTGATTTTTACACTGACCACAGAATGTGGGTCAGCAGTGTTGGTGGTATAAAACATTGCAAAGCAACTTGGTAGGAAAGCGAGTGCAATCCGATCAATCTCCAAAGGAGATGATGCGCTACGTAAACTCAGGAATATATTGTTTGCCCCCCCCCAACACTGATACTTTGGATCGAGGACTGCCATTATCCAAACAACTTCCATGGGAGAAAAGTGGTGGTTAATACGGCTCCATAATGTAGAGACAAAACTAGTCTTAAAGACGGCAAATATTTTGCGCATCTGCTTGTTTCGCTTCACGATCACATCATCCAGGCAACCAGAAGGCCATACATAGGTGTGTTGAAATTTCGTAGGCTGCCACATACGCATGCTCCCCAAGAAGGCTTAAACCTGTGTAGTCCTCAAGGTGTGTGAACGCCATGTAGTTGTAGTACTTAATAATGCATAAGATGTAGTAAATACAACTTTACTAAAGAAATACTCCCAATTACTTTGGTAATAGAAATTATTCCTATATATGTACAACTGTTTGACCAAATAAACCAAAATATAACCGCACTTACTGACTGCGATGCACTTAGAACGTGTAGTATATCGTCACCTTATTGTCTCGTACTTTTGGCATGTAGGTTTGAAGAATTACGCAATCAATCACCAGGTAAACTATCCCGTTACATCTTTCACACACAATCAATAACCTCTTTACTTCTGGAAAATAACTAAAAATCTATATTAACTCATGAACCCACCGTAAACCTAGGGTTGTGTATGTTCATCAGTAACACTTAAATTACAAAATAAAACAAATGGCTTTAAATTTTAGTGATTTTTCCTTATTAATCAGCCTGAGTAAATTGTCCAGAAGATCAGTTTCATCTGAATAACCTCATAGTGTACTTGAGATGTCCTTATGAAACTGCTGATACATATCTGAAAAAAACCCACTATTCTAAACGTTCTTCACACTGGTGTTCGCTGCACTAACCACTTAAGGAAATCTATTTAACAGCAATACAATCCCCCCGAACAGTATGAATTGTCAAGTATAGTTCTCTACAGTTAACTGTCTTGGTGTCTCAACTTCATGAATCCTGACAAGTGGAAAATTAATTGTGATCAATTAGTAGCAATCACTTCCAGGTGTGACTCTTTTATGAACGACCTAAAATACTTTTCGAAAAATCTCGGTGCTTTCAAACTAACTTATTAACTACAGTTTCATTGGTAAATATGAGAGCTGAATATATTACCTATTGACGATAAAATCAGATACTTTTGGACCCACAGAAAGACTTCATTAACAAAGCTAATCATAAAATCCACAGCATAGTTTACTTTGTCTAATAAAGAGCTTAACAACTCTGTCCAGTATACAATGAAACTAGTTTACCGATTTCGGTACATACGTGAAATAATAGAAGTTCCGAACAAAATTGCGAACATCAATCGTTAGACTCTTCACTCAATTTACAACGACTGGTTCTAAAGTTCAGAATGCTGGACAACTATCTATTTTCTATTTTTTTTTGAATTAAAATCTTCATATATATGTTTACGATCAGCATTATGACTAACATCCCTATCCATAAGATTTTTGAAACTGGCACAGCTCAATTAGGCAGTAACTGCAGTAAGTCGAAAAGATACTCCTCTACCCACCTGACCCCCAACGAATGCTTCTCACCAACTATTCTTGATTAAACAAATGAATGAACTCCAACACACTGAGATGTATAAATTTTTAATTTAAAAAAATAAATCATAACACAACATTTTATTAATGCATGAAGTACACATGCGATACACATACGCATGGTAGGTAGATAGGATAAACAAATCCCCTTATAGTTCAAAGTTAGCAAAACATTTATATAGTTTGTTCACTTTACACCTTTTGATTAATTTTGATAAGAAAAGTGTAGTATCATGAAGATCTGGAAGAGAAAATAGTTAAACAGAAGGGAAAAACAAAGTCAACTATATTTACATGTTAAATAGCAATGTTCTTTTTTATAAATAATTAACATCACTTTAAAGAAAAAAAACTGCAAATTACATTGATCATGTTCATGAAAAAAAGAGCTTAATATTTATTTCATTAAATCGACATTCGACAGAGAATAAACTCTTACATCTCATTATAGCTAGTAATTACTCTAAAGGTGCTATTATCAGTTTACTGTTACGAAATTTGAAGACGATTAAACAGATCAGAATTATTAATTTCTGATCTATTTGAGAGTAAACCAGAGAAATGTGCTTAGATATATCTAACTTTCAAAAATAAACTCATGAAGAAAAAACATAATAAAAACAAAATTTGTCATACAGCTTAAATAACTTGTTTGTCGAGCAAATACCGTATGCATGTAACAAGATTTCGGCAATCAACTTTCAGATTTCCGATAAATTCCAAACTAGTATCATGGATTAATTCGCAATAACTGAATCAAAAAGCCTAATCTGTTATGTATATCAATATCAGAGCTGCAACCATAGTGAAGTTAACTAATTTTAAAATCCTGAAACTTTCACGTATCTGTCTGTTCTGTCATATAGCTAACCAATATGAACTCCAAACTTTTTTACGAGCAAAATTAATCCCCACGTTATTATGTTAACTACACTCATGTAAAAGTATAAAACATATGCACCATACAAGAACACACATACTGCTACATAAAAGGGCAGTGAGTCAGTCTTAAATGAGTAAGTAACTTCTGCCGTTGGTCAATAAAAATTAGTCAACTACATCAAGTGCAAGAAGCTTAAAGTACCTTTCTCAGTGCTGAAATTTTTATTTTAAGTTGTACATTATTTACAAATGAAAAGCGAAATTATTGCAACGGTAATACTTACCTCGGATTTAGACCCGAAGCAACAAGACTGGCGGCGGCAGCAAGCCTGGCATGTACGCTATCGAAAGTACTGCTGGATACACCAGGGATACAACCGCTGGTTGCAGGTGAGGGGGAACTGACTGTCTGGCCTCCTGAGCCTGAAGTAGAATTATTAGTACAATTGCCTGAGGTTGCACTCGTTGAAGACCCAGTCGTTGTACCTCCTAAGGATCCGGTTACGCCAGCCAAAGATGCAGCGTGGGGAGGAGGGAGAGGAAGGCCTAAGCCAGCGGCTAATCCGGGAGGAAAGAAGTTGGCGTACGCTGAGACAGGAGGAAGGCCAGCTAGATGGGCTGCGGCGGCCGCGGCAACGGCAGGAGGGGGAGGGAGGGCTGGGATTGTTGTTGGACCACCACTGTTGGTGAGAATACCTCCACCACCGGCATTTGACAGACCTATCCCTGATCCACCAATTAGGTTAGCAGGGAAGGGGAGACTGTTAGCACCTACACCAAGACCACAACCTCCACCCGCGGCAGAAGAGAAAAGACCTGCTGAGAGACCGAACGCGGCAGCTGCAGCTGCTGGATGCAAACCACGTGCGGCGTTTTCTAATCCTGAAGCTACACTACTATTGAGGGCATTAACACCAGGTATACCTGCTCCAAGAGACAGATGATTGTTATTAACCAGGGGATTATTACTGATATTATTGGATAGACTATTGTTGGAACAACCGTGAGAAAATAATGACGAACCACCATTGGGCATAAATTCTTTGTTGACGCAGTTTCGAAGACAGTCTGGTATGCGATTTAAAATAGCTCTTCGTATTTCATTTGCAGCTGCCTCGCGCATTTCACGCATACTTGATTCACTGTAAAATGCCATATGAGGTGTTACAATAAGATTTGGAGCATCTTTTAAAGCACCTGTAATAATAAAATATTTACATAAAATGAACTCAAAATTTACTTCAGTTTGAAGTAGAATGAATTTTCAAAGTTGACAGAAATTTAGATCGAACACAACTACACACTTTATTCTTAGATTCTAGTACATTACATTCACGTATGTTTACGACCTTTTCCAGTCCAATTCGCAAGAAACAGTTTTATTCTGTTAGACACATAATACTATTGTTTATTCGTATACATCAAATAGTCTAGTTTTGATTCAAGATAGTCCCTATCGTAATAAACATTTCAGGAATAAAATTGGCAATTCGGAAGTAGGTCGTTATCCGGACAGTCTAACAACAATATTTCAGACTTCACTGGATGATTTACATCCACATAAGAAACAGAATAGGTATTCCTTGTTGAAATGTGAAGTGAAGAAGTGTCTCAGTGAGTAGGGTATTCGACTTTCAATCACTAAGATGGAGGTTTGAACTTCGGTTCGTTCACTTTGATTTAAACAGCCGAGTAGCATCACAATCTCTCGAACCTTAAGCACGGTTCAAAGCCGATTACACGTATCTGTACTACGTAAAATGAACTAAATAGCTCATAGTTCATAGCTTGGTGCCGATTACTCCCAATACTCCAACAACATATACAACCGGTTTATTATGACATAATAAAACAACACAATTCCCAAAAACCTATCACTGATATAAAGCATTGGATCAGTCATTATTTTTGACATTAATTTAACGGCAGACGTCTCAACAATACATGTATTATATCAAATTATATAGCAAAAAACTTACTATTACTCCAAACAAATGGTTCTGTCTCTGTTACATCCAATGCTGCAGCACGTATTCGACCTTCCTTAAGTGCAGCAGCAAGGGCTGCTTCATCAATTAAACCACCTCGAGCAGTATTGATTAAAAATGCACCTAAAAAAGGAACAATGTTTAGGCGATTGCTCGACTGATAGGTAAAATATTAACAAGTGAGTTTAGAAAGTAATTGCCTTTTTATCACCTTTTCTTTTTCTATCATCAAATTCAGACTGATAATTAAAATTTAGTTATTGCGGTGCATTGTTAATCTGGTAGTGAACTGTAAATAGTTTAGAAATTCAGTCAGCGCATCTGAGAAATATATGGAACGGATAATGTCCTCACACTATATAAGCACGGTGGGATGAAATTATTAGAACAAATCCCAGATGAGTAGTAGTAACACAACCAGTAGTTGTAATGTAGTGAACAGAACACGGGTAGGGACAATCGAATGTATTTAGTACGAAATTACAGAGTTACTTGGTAAAATAGAAAAACCATATAGTAAATCGTTAATTTGCAAAATATCAATCCATCATATCAACCTAGAATGTTCCTGTTGCAAACATCAATCCACTGTCTCACATTTCATTGTTCATGCGTTTTTTCACAAATTGCATTGTGTTCTCGCTCTTCCTTTCTTGATATTCCCCCATCTTCTGCTGCCCGACATTACGTTTTTAACTCGCGTCATATACTACTTACATCAATATAAGTAGCACGCGCAACGGTAGTGGAGAAATAATAGTAGTAAATGACTGATTGTAAATGATTGGTTCACACTGGCTGTGTAACCCCGTTTGAACTAAATGAGCTAGGATAGAACTATTGATTGTTTTAACTACTAGTTAGCTTGGACAATCTGGAAAGTGTTCGCGAGCAAGGAAAAGTACATTCCTAAAACATTTCCCAATGCAACTTGTTCTATAGGAGTTGAGTGAATCGATACAAGGAAGGTGACTTCAGTATAGTTTGTTATGATGCAAAATTATAGAAGTCTGTTTTCAAATGTTAACTGACTAATATGTAATCACAATCAACAAAATTATTTATTTATCTTTCATCTGGGTTTACAAATAAATCACTTTAAAAGAAGAACAACAATCAAGAAATGATTGTTCATATTATGACGGTAAAAAATATGAAACCTATTTTCTGAATGAAGCCAAATATTTGAAAAGAATACGCAGAAATTATTAATTATGAAAAGTAATACTATATTATGTTATCTCTAATATAAATGATAATTGATACTTCCATTTTAAAAATCATACATTCATCTACATATTTGAGCACATATCGACTTAGCCAGTTACAATGTACTGCGGCACTTTTCATTTAAATATATATATACTATTGAAAGATAGAGTTGATTTAATAGGATTTATTTAAAATTTATTGCATTTAGTTTAATTTCATTTAGTAACTTCTTTTAAATCCTGTAAATCAGGATTAAATCACGATATGCTACAAAAAATAATTTATTTGCACTGTATATTTAACTTTTTAGAATACATCTACATTCAATGGTTGTAGTTGCCTGAACGAAATCTTTCACTCCATCATCCAGCATCCAATCGTTGAATTTTGATCTTATTTACTATAATAATTTTTTTTTAATGAATTGTTGATATACTATATATATATTCATAATATCGATGTCGTTGGATTCTCTGAGCTAGACAGTTTAATTGCAATACTTCCATTGTCACTCAAAACCAAATCATTAGCTCATACTTCATGTAGAAATGAGCTTTATAGTTAACCCACGAGTTATAAATCAGTTCATTCCGTTGCCCTTGTTTGTGATTGGTTATTGTCATAGGTTGTTTTCAATATTTTCATTTGTGCCTGCCTTCAAATCGACTATTTTTTTCTGTCGATCTCTGACCATGTCAATTGACATACTTCGAATGGGCTGACAAATTAGGTCTAATTCGACGTGCCCATTAAAGTGCTAATTGATCTGAACGTCATGATTCCAGAAATTCCCTGACATTACTGGAATACTTTCGATTCAGAATTCTGATGTATTCCCAGTTGGATTTATGCCCGTCGTTGTCTACATCAACTTATATCAATGAAAGGTTTGAAATAAAACTATCTAGCGCAGAGAAATTTTAAACACAAAAATTATTTAACTGAGCTGAAAAATATACACATCATTTCAACATCTATATTGTGATTATCTTACCCGGTCTCATTAACTTTATTGTATGCTCATTGATCATGTGGCGATTTTGCTCATTAAGTGAGCAATGCAAAGTGACACAATCACTTTGAAATAGTAGATCTTGAAGACTGTAAACACGTTCGATACCCAATGATCGTTCGATCCCATCTGGAAGATAAGGATCGTAAAATGTTACATGAAATCCAAAAGCTTGGGCTCGTAATGCAACAGCTGTTCCAACTCGACCTAGAAGTAAGCAAAAACAAATAGATATGGATAGATAGACCGATTAACACGTATACAACTAAAAGTGTTAAACCTATGTAAATATCTAAACCGCTGTAACAAAATATGTGCATCCAGACAAGAGACAGTTGAAATCCTCTGAAAACAATAACGATAAATCAAATAAAAATTATTTAGATTAACACAGAAGTTTCACTTCTGGATGCATTTCAATGATGAACGATTACACATGATATTACAGACCAAACAATACTAGAAATATTGTTATGCCACAAGAATGAAACATAAGAAACACATCATTAATAATCTGTATTCTTTATACAAAAAATGGATGGTCAATTATTATTCCATTCACGTGTTAAATAGTTACTGCAATGAGTATAGATTAGACATGATTAATCAGCATATACATCGATATAAAAGTAGTTTTGAAAGCAATTACGTACCCAAACAATAACATCTTTATTGAAACGATTCGCCGTTTTTACTCACTATTTCTAAAATTAGCGAATTTTTAATGAATATAAAGGACGATATAAATGAGGTTGATGGGGAACCAAATATTTGTAACAAAAGTTGAGGCAATGATCTGTCAATATCTGAATCTTGCTATGATTCAGATTTTTGTTTAACTTATAGTTATCATGATCACTACAAGACAAAAACCACTCAACCAAACAAGACTATTTACTACAGATAGTCCATCGATTTAGATAATTACGTTATGTAATGGTAAGAAAAATAATAATAATTTAAAAATACTAAACTTTACAGAGATTTAAGTGGAAATGGAAGAATAAGTGCAAAGTTACATGTTTAACACAAACAGAAAAAAACAGTACATCCGTTTACAACATTGTCAGTAATTTTAAATGTTATTAAGGAATTTAAAATACTTGTCTTCATCATGAGAAAGACCCCTAAGAAGGTAACAACGTGAAATGTTAATAATTCTGTATTATATGCTTATACATCGAATGATTACATTTATTGTAGTGTTCACACTGAGATAACAGCAAAAGTAACACAACTAGGAACTTGTGTATTACTCGGAAGGCTTAACGGAATACAAAAAGCCTATCTGTTTAGATGACTGAAAGCATGCAGAGAAAGATGTCATCATATTTCAACAAGCAATAAAAAAGTTAGCTTGAAGTATCACCATAATACATCAAAATCAGTTGATATACATTGGCTTTTAAAACGATTTCATGAGAAAGAGTAGGAAAAGACATCTGACAGACGTTTGATAAGTAAATGCACACAACACAGTTGATTTGTCCATCCATGTGTTTGTTTTCAATTAGATTTATTTGATCTGCCTAGGTATAGCTGTGATAACCATGTATTAAGCGGCATAATACAAAATAAGATTGGCAGCTCAAAATCATCCAGCTGTAGCTTACATTCAGTCACGTTCACGTATATAGTGCATCCGTACTTTCAATCAATACTCAACAAATACCCCGAACTTACTCGAGCAATAATAAAATTACTATATATAATCAGTAATGAAGTACATCTTATCTCGACAAGGCAACCTGTATTCTCAAAACCACGCCGACTTGCTCCAAAAAATCTAAGAATGACGAAATAGGGATTCTACTAAATATTGAATTTCGGAATCTTCATATATATTTTTTTCCAGTACGAGATGAAATGAGGATAAAGACAATTGGAGAGTAAAACTGTACTCAGTTATTGATCATCTATATTCCCCATATGGCACCCTAATATAAAAGTAGATACACGAATGCTGGGCTGATAGAAATGTTAACTAACGATTAACTCCTAGCTAGGAACATAAAACTGGTCTCACGACCCTATCACATAGAATTTAGCTTAGCAGACGATCGATAATTTTCCTGACCTTGTTAATGCCAACGGACACTTTTAGCTGAAAACGTTCAGCTAAGCATCCTTACAATTTCCAGGTACGCAACACGTGGGATGCCTTTCTCATCCTCTAGGTACCATATTCGTCTACCATTATCTGTAATCAAATATATGACTTTCGTTTTCAGCCCCTGCTTCGGCTTGGTCACCCGGGTAGTATTACAGCCCACACACAAATCAAGTGACTTGTATGGCGCATATGTATTCGGTACCCCTTTGTACCAATATTTATGTTCAAATAAAATAAAATAAATCGTTTTCATTGTTAGGTGTTCAAATATTTGGTAACAGTATTATTAAATTATTCCGTATCAAGTCATTCATCAGGAAAGTTCCTCCACAAGACGGTGAAATATTAAGCCAAAAAGCATTTTTTTTACTAGTTATTCATGCTATCTCCCTTTGTCTACCAAAAAACGTACTTTATGAGGTCAATGGTTAGTATGATTATCGACGAAGCTGAGTAATTCTTTGTGATAATAACTATAACTCCAGCCAAGACACTTCCAAGATTAATCAAGCTGTTGCAAAAGTTCAGGTATTTTAATATTCAACTAAGTCTAAATAAATGTTTATTTCCTTAATATCACTAGCATGAAGCCACGAGTTTAAAGCAAAGAAAACAGCGCTTTACTAGATTTTTCCTTGAAAAATCTTCAAAAGTAAATAAGATTTAGTCTTGACAAGCAAACCGAACTTATGTACCGCTTATTCTGATGCTAGATTGATTTAATTTCCATACTGAATATTTAAATGACTGAATCTACCTCACAGTTCAGGTGAATATTTAGATACTAATCTACTCTGAATTTATGAGGGTTAAATGTAAGTGATTTCCTATTCAAACCATAGTAAATCCAGAGATTTAAGTGTAATTAAATCTCAGAAACCTTATGCGAAAATATTGGACTTGACTGATAACCCTAGCGACAAGCCAACTACACTACGATCAGTTGAACCCGGATAAGCATGGTTTTTATATCAGTCAGTCAGCTGCAACGTATTTATTGTTGAGTTGGTCTCTTCAAACACATTTGGAGCCTCCAAGTAATTTACGAACACAATAAGGTATTTGATTTATCGGAAAAGGTGTGATGTTTCGATTTATCTGTTACACCGAACAAGTAGAACTTCCTTGTCTGAAACAAGCGTGTATCGAGGCAAATACAGTTGAAAATAGTATAGGAAATTTTTGAAGATTGTTCAGTTTCAAGATAGTTTACATTATCGGTTGGTTTCAGAACGAAAACTATCGAAAACCAAAAAATTAGGCAGTTAGCCACAACCCAAGGACAACCTAGTACAATGTCCATTGGTTCAAGTTCAGTCAGTCAGCTACAACATAGGACAAGGCACATATACACGTCGGTCAAAGTTGCCATACCTCATTAGCACAACAAGATGAACATCAAATTCATAGAAGCAGTTACTTCAATGGTAGTAATATATAAAAAAAGATTGCATACAAAGATATGATGCTGGGAGAAAGAATTAATTCGTAGAAAGAAAGGTATTAAAGTAATTTTAATATCACGGTTTGAGAGAAGACAAAGAGTGTATACTTATATGCCGATGTGGTCAATTCCGAGCCATGTCACCCCGTCTCCAACCACTGGTTACGATAGTCAAGCGGACCGCAACCAATTAGTCTGCACCTACCAACATGGCTCAGACCAGAAGTTAGTGACTTTGTGGACTGATGCCTCGTTCTGGTTTGACCACCCTAACTTTCTTCCAAACTTCTCGAGCACTAGTCAGCATTGCGCGTCGTAGTAATCGGTGTTCAGGCATACGCAACACATGGCCCAACAATCTCAGTCGATGAACATTCACAACCTCACCAACTGATTTACCATCATTCCCTAATACCATGCGTCTAACCCCGCTATTACTTACCGGTGATCCCAGCAGATGACAGCAATATTTCTAAGGCATCTGTGGTCAAATACTAGTAGCTTACGAGTATCTTCAACTCTTAATGGCTATGTTTTGCAGCCGTAAAGTAAAACAAAACGAACTGCCGAGTAGTATACTCGTCCCTTAATTGATAGACGGATATCTCGACTTCGCTATAGGTGTCGTAAGTTGGCAAAAGTCAAACGAGCTTTCAGAATCCGTGCTGAGATGTCGTCAGGCACCAACTCATTAGAACTGATCAGATTTCCAGAATAAGTGAAGTTGTCGATGCACTTCACTCTCTATCATTAGTTGAAGCTTTGACGCAGGCCAGTCCTGAAGCAACAATTTGCATTTAGAGGGGGAGAAACACATCCCAAACATCCTGGTATTGTTGATCAGTGCTACCAAAAAACTGCACTTTATCAGCGTCTTCATTAAACAGGACTATATTATATGCGTATTCCAAGTCAATAAGTGTGCCTTCTGGTAGGAGATCAATCCCCGAAAATTCAGTCGACGAGAAAGTTGTTCCCAGAAGTAGGTGTATGATGAAATTGAACAAAAATGAAGATAGTAAACAGCCTTGCCGAACACCACTTGAGGTTGCGAAATCAGTTCGTCATAAGCTTGATAGGTAGTGTTCGAGTTCAAGTTGCCACACCACGTCAACCCAGAGATGAAATTATCAAGATGAATTGCAATGTAGTAGCAGATTAAAAATACAGAGAAATAGTTGACTTAAGAAAAATGGATTCGGGATTTATAATATATAAAAGTCTTGAGACTTAGGACCTAGGAAAAAACAAAGAGTAAACGTATCTGTCTCATTATGACTGACTGCACCATGTCATCCAAAGTTAAGCAATAATAACCTCAAAAAAGCCAACTTCGCAAGCTGTACATATTAACATGACGCACATTAAGTCATGGACAGATGACACTCTTTGATTTGGTGACCCCTACTTATCATCCAACCTCTTAAACCAATCAACATCCCGCGTCGAGGCAGGAAGCGATACATATCGTAATCGCCTCTGTCGACGAAAAATCACAATATTTTCAACCGAATTCAGTTTTTGGATAGTATTCTGCGCTTGACCTCAAAACTGCTCACTTAATGGTCTAAAACAAGGCTAGTAAAGCCTCGAGGATACCTATAATCAAACAGTAATAACCTATGGATATCCGCTGTTTTTGAAGTCCATGTTTTAAAGCCATAAAGGAAAGACAGAGAGGACTATTGCGTAGTATACTCAACCTATAGCTGGGAAACAGACATCTCACCTACGCCATAAGTGATGCAAACTGCCAAAAACCAACTGAGCTTTCTGAGTCGGTGCCGAGATTTCGTTAGCCATCAACCTACTAGGACTAGTGAGAAATCCAAGATAAGTGAAGTGATTACCATCCGTAGTTCAAGTGCTGATCCATACCAGTACCGAAGTAACATTTTGCAACACAACTAGACATCATTTTATTAGCGTATTCATCAAACAGGACTGTTATTTAAGTATCCTAAGTCGAAGAACGAATCATCTAGCAAGTGATTAATTCCTGAAAAGTTGGAAGAAAGCGTTATCTCTAAAAGTGTGTAGTCAACGAAACTAGATATGATTGAGTGAAGTAAGTAACCCAGACAAACACTAATTGAGATTCGCAGTTCCGACAAGAGTTCTTCATAAGCTCTGACTCAAAAAATAGTATTCAAGTAAAGAGTCCTCACAAGGTTTATGTACTTTTTTGGTACATTCAATGATAAACACTGTCAAAGAAACTGCAAACGGAGCCGAATGATGGTTAAAAGTTCGGAAATGCCTCTAATGTCAAGAGCCAGAAAGTATTCTTCTGTTCTAGAACGTGACAAGGGGTGAATACTTGGTAACACACCCATTTCCAAGTTTGAAACCACTCTGGTTTTCCCACGTTTGCTGTTACCAAGCCCCAGATAAAGGAACGGGTAACTATAGAGGGCAACAAATTGGTCAAATCGGTTCCTGTATGACTATCACAAGAGGACTTTTGTCCTTTTTTATAATCTGGTACGATCAGCGAACGACACCAGTCAGATGGGATTACGTTCAACTCCCAAGCTAATTGATTATTGCTTTAATAGAAGCAGAGAATTTGCATACATTAGAAATGCTTCTTGTTTAATAGATCATATCCATCAAAAAGTCATACCGTGGTGTACAAATATACTAGCTAAGACCATTCTTTTATGTAAGTAGGAAAAGGCCTTATGAATAAGATTTCTTGGAGTTAAATCAATTTTCATACGACGAATTCCAGAAAGCACAGCCAGCTAAATTACAACCTGAAACAAACATGTATATGAGAAGAGCAGTGGCTTAGTCATTAAAAGTACCTAGTCATTATTTTGAATCCCGGCCCACCTACTCCAGTTTTTGTTTCCCCAGAAGCATATGCACTTAGGATCACCATATCGAGAAGAGGAAAAAAACAAGACGAAGAAAACGGTAGTATATATATACAGAATGCAGTTCAAAACAACTAGATGAAATTAAGAAACGATGAGTGTAAAATAACATCAAAACTCAAAATTCAGAAGTCAAAGAATAAATACATCTGCCTGATTACAAATGATTCTGATCCCTATAACACAGGGCCACGATTTCAAGCCATAACTAAAACAAGAAACTCTAGAAACTTTAGCATCATGTTCGATCTCACCCACTGAAGATGCAAACCCACGAACTCACAACTCATAAATATTTTAAGTGGATGAAAGTAGTATAAAATGTCCATCACATATTACTTCAAGATTTGCAGTAACCTCAGAACCTATAGCGAGAAATCATACCAAGTAGACATATCTAACGGTTTATCGAGGTTACCTTGCACTTGAAAATCTTCCTAGGAATCTATAGGAAATCATATCTAGATAATGCAGGCGACTGGGTAATTACAAGTATTCGATTATAGCTAGTTTCAAGTCCTCATGTATCGTGAGAATACCGAGCGAATGATGTTGAAATCGTGTGACGCAAGATACAGTAAACCAGTTTGATGAGGTAGCAAAAAGATTAGTAACAGACGTATTACATGCAACAGCATTTAAGTGATTTATTTCAGGATAAGTAAAAGCCACCTGGAGATATATGACTTAGAACCAAACGAAGGACAACTGGTTAGTAAAGCAATGGTACAATGAGAAGTTTAATCGAACCAAGGGAAAACTAGCTGAATGTGACAATCCTTTTAATTAGACTAAGAATATTAACGATCATGAAACAAAAAATCATAAAATAATAATGTTCAGCACATGAAGGGTGAAAACAGAATGCACCTGGAAAACGCACCATATACAAACAGACTTATTTCAATAGTCTTAGTCAAAACTATGTCCCACACCATTAACTAAGAGTAAGTAACTTCAATTTGAATTCATCATGATGAGTCCTCTACACTATTCATGCACTAAAGTTCGTTAGACGTTACAGAACAAGTTGACTCCAGCTCTTTCGGCTTTCTGTTGCAATACAGAAAATGGTGAAATGTACAAGTATGAATACAACTTTTCATATATTTAACTGCACGATGAAGATAATCATTCAAACAAGCTTTGAAATTGTTAGAGTCATTTCAGGTTTCAACTATCTTTGATATCTTAATAAAGAGCTATGCAGTGCAAATACAACTAAGTACTTAAATGGACTAAAGATCTACAAATAGATAGACCAATCAGCAGTTTTGTCATTTTAAACAATATCATTAAAGGCTTACCTAAACCAACTATCCCAAGAGTATCACGTCGTATTCGAGCAGACCCGTTTGCAACTTCCTTTAAATGCTCAGGTCCATTAATCCGTTTGCCCATTTGCAGGCTGTTTGCTAACCAATAAGTACGTCGGTATAAGGTCAGAATGTGGCAAAGTGTCGTATCTGCAGACTCCTCAACACCAAATCCAGGAACATTACAAACAGCAATTCCAAGTTCCCCAGCGGCTTTTATGTCAATGTTGTCGTAACCGCTGAAAAGGAATATTAATTTATAGGTAGAATTAGTAACATATATACAGAAATAATATTACCAACGAACCAAGAATTGGTGGAGTTTTGTTCTCTGAGCTCCACAAACAAACCATCTAGCTCAGAGAACAAACCTCCATCAAAATCATTTACGTGAGCTACAAATCTTCACCACCATCTCAAAACCAAGAATTCAGAATTTCGATAAACCATATATATGCAAATAAACATAAACTCACCTGCCTATCCTCACGATAATCTTTAGTGATTTGAATTTCTGAAGGTCCTCGCGCGTTAAAGAAATGGTATGCCACATTAAAGCCCCAACAGCTTCTTCAAGGACTTTACCATGAATTTCACTGGTGGATGAAGCATCGCAGAAAGCAACTGTGGCCACATCTTTTAACAAGGGCATTTCAATAGTGCAGTCACGACCATCAAGCAATGCAACAAGTGGTTTCGCTGGTGGAGGTCCATTAGAAGAACGATGAAGTGACATTAGAAATCCTCAGTTAATTATAGAAGTTATCAATCCAATATAATAATGCTTAAGCTAACAGTTAATTTTAACAAATTAATGCGAGTAGGAGGACACGAGAACAGTGACGCAGCAGAATGACAGGCGAAGTGATATTTTCATTTTCAAGTAAATCTCTAGTTTGCCGAGGGTCTTTAACATATATGTTAATGAGCCATGTGGTCTACCCCCTATTTTGATTGTTCTGCCGCCTAAAAGCATTAGCAAATCGAAGTCACGCAAATTGTTAGGGTGTGTGAACATCTACCAGAGCAAAACTCAATTGGAGGTTTATGATTTCCACATCATTAGGAGAATATTGGTTAGTCATCTTACTATTTAAACACAAGTATACGGTTCTTGCTCTCCCCTCTTGTAGTGGTGTTGACCTTCCGAGTTATCGATTTTCATACCCAGAACAACCACAAAGCAATATTTATTGTTTGTTAGTCGCATTTCGGTCTAATGCGTTTATGGAGGTTAGTGATAACAAAATTTTAATGTGGTGTGTCTGCCCTCATCACTTGCATCACATGTATTTTATATGCCCGGTATAAATGAGAGAGACGAAAATTAACACTAGGGTGATAATAATTATTTTTTACCTAATCGCATTATGTGACCTGAGATTGTTGTTTATTTAACGCAGTTATTGATAAACAAGAACTTTTATTTGCAACTTAATGAAATATCTTAGTATACCAACCATATTCGAGGAGTAGAAAATTTTATAAGCCCGTAAATTCTGATTTTCATTAAACAAGATAGATAAAACATGTATGAGGAGTCCCACAATAGGACGAAACGGCCGTCCAGTGCTTCCAGGTTTCCAACGGCGGTATAACATCAATCGGTTCATGATCTCAATCAAAAACTAAATAAAAAAGATTGGTTCCGCGAATAGTTCTCTTTTCGGCGAATTCATTTTTAAAGCTGTACACGCGGAAATATATACTTATTTTTCAGGATGATGATTATAATAATAATGATAATAAACTTCTGTTAGACATAGTAACAGTAAAGTAGAATAAACAAAGATATTCGAAATTCCTTTTTTAAGCCGGGAAACTAATAATAGTTTGATGGTCAAGGGCTTAAATATTCATCATAATGATAGATAGGGAAACCATTATTGGGAAAGGATGGCTGTGCATGATAAGGTTGTACAGCTTTAAAAATGAATTCGCCGAGAAGATAACTCTTCGCTGAACCCATCTTTCTTATTTAACGTCTCAATGGGTGTATTCCGTTTATTAAATGTATAAATCACTACTTAATTTAAATTTGACATCAACAACTAACATCACCTGAAGAACTCCTAGAATGCAAGTATTGGTGAACAATCGCTCCATTTAATTACCGATCGTCTCAAAATGTGTTTTGCACTAATTTGAAACAAACAACAGTTTCTTCTTAGTTCTAAATCTTTCTCCTGGTAATGGATACATACATATTTACTTTGTTCGCTTTCTAGTCCACAATATGGTGGAGGAAACTCATAATCTATCTTTATTCCATGCTCAAAAATATTTGTTCATCAGTTTTACCAACAAAGTATCACGATACATTTGACCCAGTGGTTCATGACAAACTATTATTCAGTGTGATTAAAATGATTTGCATTTAGTAATTTGATCGCAACAGAACAATTGAGGAATGACACGCATCAGTATTAATTTTTTTATCGTTAGTGTATAACGTTTAACTGAATCAATTAATCATCAAACAAACAAAAGCACTCAAACGGAATTCAATGCCCAGGTGTTTATCTTAGTTATAGAAAAAAACAACTAACCATCTCAATACTATTGTAGAGTATTCCTGTTTATATCTTTTATCACTACATTTTAAGAAACTTGACAGTATTTTAATGGTAACTACAATATGACATATTTTGTGGATTTAAACAGTGGGATTATTATTTATGTACAGTTAACTGAAAAAAATATAATTTTCAATTTAATATTAATCCTTCACTGTTTTTTGTTGTAATGTACATTAAGTATTTTTATAAGCATACTACAATGCAGTTTGTTTTACTTCCATTACTTATACAAGGAAGTGAATTGATCAATTCGTAAGATCCCTAATATTTGACTAACTATGACAATTAGAAGTATTCGAAATAATGCACTAACTAAGAATTCTCAAAATAGTGCAATTCAAGTTAGGTAGAACTAAATGAGCACAAATGAATGCATTATACTTGGAATTCGTAATCAGAGGGCAATCAAGCACAAAGGAATCATTAGTTCGTACTCATACTGCATTAACCCAATAAGTAAATTGATTTATTTGAGCGTTAAATAGATGGAGAGGGAAAGAAGAGAGGTTATTGAGGTACTTCCTGTTCATTTCAGTTGATAGTGTCCATTAAAAACTGACCATCAAACAGTTACTGAAAATTAAGAAGCACTGAACAGTTGTTTTCTTCTATTATAGGACTCTCCAGCAGTGGGCATACATGACTTTGCAGAGAATCAAACTTAGGACCATTTAAGTATTGCGACGAAAAATTAACGTTTAGACAGTTGAATCAGTATCCAATGATTAACACTTATAGCTTCAATTAATACTCGAGGTGGCTCAATCATCGTTCATTGCCGTTGCTGGGTAACAATTACACATCGGACATTATTGAATTCTCATTTGATTTCAATATTTAACATTAATTTATTGATTTAACAATGTAGTATTCCCGCCCTAATACTAGTGTTAACATAAACTATTATGTAAATCCAAGTTATAAATTTCTCGTATTGATTGGTGCTTTTTGCCTAGTTATCAGTTCAGATAACCTAACATAAGCCTGAGAGTCACTGAAAACATGGAAGCCTTGTATAAGTGTTGCATACAACTTTCGGGAATGGAAAATAACTTACGCTGACAACCAAACTAGGATATGAGCCAAAACATTTAAGAATGTCCTCTAAGCGGTGATTCTGAATTCCTTGGTCCACATGTTCGTCTGATTTTTAGACAATATAACTATATTTTTACCCAGCGTCATAGGTAATTCACTGGTAGTGGCTTGGTTTCGAGATAATTCCTTAGGCTTCGTTTATCAATCACCCTGATAATGGTTATTAAATAAATCTCAACAGTATATGAATTCACAGAGCAATAGAAAGCGATGACTACAGTTTATTATTGGATAGCACATATGACAAAGTTACAAGCACAACGAACGAATTTGAGCATAAAGGTCAATGCACTCAAGTAAGTAATACGTAGGCGAATTCAGAGTCAAACTGAATAAAGGCGAAGCGAAGCAAGGCAAAACAGTTAATAAGATTTAAGCATATCTATGTATAGGCGATCAACATTTAAGTTGGAGAGAGATATGTGATCAACATTTACGTTTATATAAACATAATAGTGATCATAATAATACAAAGAAATAGACAAATTATTACTATTCGAATAACACTGTTTGTTAAATATGTTAATTAAAGGGCTTGACAAAATTAATTGTGGGAGGGTTGCTATACTCATCCTGATGTGGTTAACTCAAATCGTTCAAAATCAGTCAATTGTAAGTAGTCAGTGTACTTTCTAGTTAAGGTCAATCCATGATAAAAACAAATTTATGACTGCATAACAAGGGTTATAAATTAATAAAATAAAATTTTTGTTATAACTAGGTTATTTGACCTCAGATTTTTTAGCAGTTAGGTTTCTACTATCATACAACTTCTATTTTCTGGTTAGACCCATCTTGAATCCTTTCTGTACAGTTAATAAAACTTCTGGTAGAAAGTGACGCACTTTTATTCAGTTTTTCCATTTTTTGTATTCAAAGTACTGTACGTAAACTCCTTTCAGAACATAGATATATAGTTTTTTAAATGTATTTCAGGTAAATCTTCACACATCATCCTTTAATTCATAAATAATTGTAAATTGTTGCTTGTTTCTCACAACAAAATTTGTCTTGCTTCTTATCATTTTTACATTTTTTTCCACGGAATTTTTGTGAATAGAAATAACCAATATTAAAATTCACCGGCAATTACTATGTCTAAGTTGAAAAATTAAGTCTCGGAAAATTAATTACAAGAAAAAAACCTACGATCGATTAGTACTTTTGACTAATAGAAAGCACAATACTCAGACTATGTATAAACGTAAAACAATATTTGAGTGTGTTTTGAATGAGATATTAATAGTCTCAATGTATAAAGGTAAATATTAATACACTTGTGGTGGAAATACCGTCATGGTTGTTTGCCTTCCACCACACTTATGTTTAAAGAGATGTTTGACAGATTGATTTCTTATTGCTATGATAATAAAGACACCTTTTTCACAATATTCTATTGATCACGTTTCCGTATCACTTGTGATGCTGGAGAGAGGATATCCTTCCACTCTTTGAAATGAACCATTTTAACTAATATACATTCCTAGAATTTAAAATGTTGGAGATCATTTAGTTTGTAGATTCCTTAAAGCATTTAAAGCCAAGAAACATCGGACAGTTTTTACTGTCCTAGTATAAAAAACGAAGCATTGTGCATTAAAGACTTCACTTACAGTCAAACCAAGGACATTCGAGATTCTTGACATATAAGTTACCATTAGGCCACCGAGTTTGGGATTCTATAGTTAGCACATTGAAGTTCAGTCAATTATCAGTGTTCCACAACTGTCATATATGCCAATATTGATTATTAAATGTCAAAAAAGTTACTGACAAAGTAATCTGACAATTACACATTAACAACGCCCAAATAATTTCTCCTCAAATACTCCCAAATAAGTAATAAACTGCTTATTTTGTTTATCAAACATTTAAAATTACTGTTTCGTTTGTTTGTTTATTATTTCATATTTCATTAACTCATATCATTTGGTATTGTTAATTTTCAATCGGTCAACTCATATTCAGTGACCAACTTCACGTTTGCTCAGTCCTTAATGCTGATCAAATTCCATCGACTGAGTTGAAATGTGGCTAGACTGTGTTGAAATGTTAGGTGATTGAAGCGAATCGACAGGACGTCCTGAACATGAATTTCGTGCTATTTGGCACTCATCAGTAGGATGTGCTAGTTATCATATCGCAATCTGATCGATAAATTTCAATTAGCATTAAGAACTAGACAAACATGACATTGTTCATTATTGAGTGATCAATAAATGTGAATATGTCAACCCTAAAGGACAACAGTCATGGCCCGAATAACTCATTGATAACATCTCAAATTGTGAAGCTGAGTGATGTGTGTTCGAATCCATCAGGAAAGATCACTTCACTCAATATTAAATGTATGATTTGCTGACGAGTTTCATACATCATAAAACCTAAGTTCAGGGCGCCCCGTCGATAACCTCGACATTTCTAATAAATTATAACACAATAGTACATCAAAATAGTCATAAATATGTATTTCTACGAACCGATCGTGTAAATATCTAGGAACATAATACAAATTTAAACTAAGTTTAAATCAAGCAAAACTAACCGACTTTTTGGGTCATTTCAAATATATTCACTATACATTATGGTGTGACATACTACAAAGTGTTTTTTGTTGCCTAGCTAATAAACCGTTACATAGTTTATATAACAATAGCAGATTGAAAACTTCACTTAGTTTGTGTATTCATGTGACTAAAAGAGAATTGACGACAATTCAACGATGAGAACAGTCTTTTTAACTATTTTATTGACAAAAAATTCCAATAATCATATTTAAACTAACTTGACGTATATAATAGTTTATCAGAAAACAGG